CACTCACTTCTTCAGCCGCGCGTCAAGGAATTCAGAGTAACTATAGACTATAGAGAGCCGAAGGAGACCACGCAAAGATGGAGAAAACATTCATAGAATAATAATAATAATAATAATAATAATAATACAGTAGTAACAGGATTCTGAAAATCCAACGCCGAGCAAGTGCTAGACAGTAGTACGGTACGTCGTGCACAAACGAAGAAAGAAGAATGGGTACAGTACAGTACTGTACTATGTACACAGAGCAATCCCCCCAAAGGCGGAGCGAGACAAATACTGCACGCCTTTCAATTCTACGGTCATGACGGGTGCTCAAGACAAGAACACAGGAGCCGGGACCCACTACCTATTACTGACAGCTCATTTCCACCTCCTCATCCACGGGCTTATGTTGAAATGTCGACTAATACCGTACATATACCCCACTTTCCTTTCTAAGTGAAGAGAAGGGAAGAGAAAGTATAGGAGTAGGCATTTCTCCGTTTTCGCGAAAGCTCTGCAAATACAGGACGCTGCTCGGTTAGTTGGATGAAAAAAAAAAGAAGAAAAAAAGGGCCATGAAGGAAGCCGGGAAAGACAAGAAAAATCGCCTTTATCGCGGAAGTGTGTCAAAAAAATGCCCAGGTTCTCTCTTTCACACACACACACACACACACACACACGCGCGCAGACACAAACACTCTCTCTCTCTCTCTCTCTGTCCCGCGTCGAATTACGTCCGTCAAGCTTCTCACTCGCTCAACTCCGACAAAAGCATTTTAGCCAAGTTTCTTCTAAATTTCTTTTTTGTTATTTCTTTCCTTCTCGCGCGCGGTGATATCCCCATGCCTTTCCTGTCCATCAGCTTTCAAAATGTCGACTGAAATATAATGAAGAGATGGGCGAAATGAGACGAGGACACGCATTGGGAGGAAAAAGTCGGGGACGCTGCTAGGCCCCCCTTTTCAATATCAAGTGTCACTGTGTGACAGAAAGACTGACACACACACACACACACACACACACACACACAAACAGGTGACGGGGAGAGCGGGGAACAAAGTCGTTTTGTATTGCACTCGGAAAAGGTGTCAAGCGTGAAAAGAGCCGAGATACATATCTTGGTTGTTTTTTTTTAAATAATGATTAAAAAAAAAAAAAAGTTCAGAGAGAAAATAATTCTCCCTGCGGAACACCAACACGCGTGATTTCAGTCGTTCGATAAATTAATGATGACGAAGAAGAAAGAACAATGTGCCGTCGTCGTCGTTGTTGTGCGGAAGCTGCGTGCCGGCAAAAAAAAAAAAAAAAATGAACAGCCATACCCATATTGCCAAAATATATGAACTGAATATGAGAGCTCCAAAACTGCTGGTTTTTTATACTCAATGGACCCCCTCAAGGCCTATCCGCAGGAACAGGAGTCAAGTACCATCCGGTTTTTGTCAAAACAGCTGGACCGGGGGGGGGGGGGGGGGGGGGAGGGGAAACAACAATAATAAGATGCGACAGAAGAAGAGAGCAGGTCCGAAATCGAGACCGGCAGACATCAAGGTGAATCAGGCATCAGACAAGGAAAGGAAGGGGGGGTTGGTTCTTGGTTTGTTCAAATGGCTCATGATGGTCTGTCTGTACAGCACATTATGTGTGGAACAGTAGTGCAGTGTAACGAGCAACGCTGCTGCTGCTGCCGTTGTCGTCGTCCTTCTTCTTCTTCTCCGTCTTCTTCTCTTGCTCCCTGTCGAGGCCCATTTCGGCTGTCGAACTATGGAACAAACATGGGCCGTGACAGCGACCAAGATGAACGACTCGCCGGCACGCACGCCGCCCGTGTCATGCAACGACGACGACGACGACGACAACGGGTTTGCTTCTCTCACTCTCTCTGTCTCTAAAAGCTTTACTTTATACTGTACTCGACTAGTTATTCTCATCCTGATTCTCCTTATTGCCGCCATCAATTTTCAAACCCCGCTTCACTCCTCCAACTTGCCCCGTACCCCGTTGCTCATGTAATTGTTTCATCCACTCGGCAATATCGGCGGGCTGAGACAGGAATTGAAACTTGTGGACCACTCCTACTCCCCTCATCGCGTCTTCTTCTTCTCCACCACCACCACTACCACCTCCATTTCCTTCTCCTCCTCCTCCTCCTCTTCCACCCACCCCTTCTCCTTCTTCATCTTCATCTTCTGTACTTCTATTCTTGTCATATTTCACATCCCGCACAACGAAACTTGATTCCTCTCAGGTCCATCGGCACACACCCGCCCCCCTCGGAAATCGACTCTCGGCTGCTCCAAACTTCAACAACCGCCGTCCAACACTCCCCTTACTTGCGTGATGCAGTCTGAATACTTTGCCCACGCATGGATTCGGTCGGTCGATTGATGACCCATTACTGCACTGTATTCTGCAACTCGCGCGCAAACACGAGCGGAATGTGGGAGCGGAACAGCGAGCGGCTTCTTTCCAACTATAGTACAATACCTGTACTGATGCATTGAAGCACATCGGCAATGTGTTTCACAGGACAGTACTGTACTGGAATAGATCTCCTTGGATGAAATATGCTGGGTTAGACCGCCAGGGGAATTACAGGACAGGACAGGACAGCACAGAACAGTACAGCAGTCGGCAGCAGTGAAATGAAGTGTCTGACGCCGGTAGGGAAAAGTGCAGCAGCGGGTATACAGTACTGTACAGTACAGTGGATTTTTGTTCGTTCGTGTTGGCGAGCGAGACCCACAAACCCTTCCCTGCTGTTGAATGTGGGTCGGGGTCATCGAACCAACTCGACTCAACTCAACTCGAGCTCATCATCATCATCATCATCATGACGGCGCGGCATGCCAGTGGCAATCCTCGCGGAGAAATAAAGTGCGTGCACGAGCACAAGCACATGCAAATCCCATTCCTCCTCTGCTGCCTGCTGGCATTCCAGTACGTAGTCGTCAATCAACAAGAAACACCACCACCACCGAATCGATTTCAATCCCGCCGCTTCCGAGGGCACACATCAATCAACTCATTTCCATACCCGCCTCCCCACTGTAATACTGTACTGTACTGCACTTGATTGCGCAAGGATGAAACAAACTTATCCTTCCATCCTTTCCCCTTTACTTTTTCTCGCTCTGTGTGCTGACACACGCACACACACACACACACACCTTTGTTGTACAGTAACTCAATGCAAGGACACGAAAACTCATGAAATAAACCAGGTTTCTGTGATGGCCAACACTTACTCCTCAGAGACAGGAATCCTCATGAAGGATACAAGGCAATTACTGTACTGTACAGTAGACACGTGTTGTACTGTACTGTACTGCACTGCACTGCACTTCCTGTTCCATACCATAGAGGACTGAAACAGAAGAAAGGAGCTTGTCCTCCGCTCTGCGCGGAAGCCGGTTCTCCAAATTTTGACGAACACAAAAACGGCACTGTACACACACAGACACGTCGTCGTTAGTCATTCAAACAACATCGACACGCGATTTGTCAGTGTTGCCCCAACAGCAATTAAGAAAGCACGACGACACCACCGAGAAAGGCACAGAAATGCGGCAAGATGACGAGAGACGTGCTTCGGTCGACATCGACATCCCATCAACTACTTCCATCATCACTGCCGTGAAACAAGCCCATTGTGGCACGGTAATAACTCTCTGTCTCTGTCTGGATATGCTAATCGCACCAACATCTCGTACCCGCCGGGCCTGTCCACACTAACAAGGTAGTAAGTTATTCTCTCTAGTTCCTACGTCCTCAGACTCATGCAAGGCTTGAGATGTATTTTTCATGAAAATCAGGAGATAAGAGGTGGGCTTGATTTATTTTATTTTTAGGACTTGTTTCAGAGATGGGATCTTGATGGATGAGTTTTTAAATTAGCCAAACAGCAATCGGTTCAAGATGTCTTGATCAAGTTCGGATTCTACAGTATTTCAAATAAGAAAAAACCACTTTTATCTCAATTTTTCGACAGTTTCGGATCATAAGTGCAGGGAGGAGGATGCTGTGATGACTACGTATACTTTCCCGCATAAGATCTTTTTCCCGCAACTGCAGTCATGGCTTATCTTGTCATTCTTCATTGCACCGTTCTTCTGATATGGAAGGTCTTTGAATGTACAAAATTTAAGAAAGTACTTCTGTGAGGTTCAAATGCAGGACAACCTTGTCAAAAAGTCTGAATCAGTCTTCTGAGAAAGAGGGAGAGGGTTACATCATACAGTGGTACCTCACACTACAAATGTAATTTGTTCCAGAGCTACATTTGTAGTGCAATACATTTGTAAGGCAAGTCACAATTTCCCTTAGACTTGTATGGGAAATCATTTAATTTGCAAAATAAGACAAGAAAAAAAGAAAACAAATGGAAAATAACAGTTTGGGACTTTTTTTGTACAATCATTGTCACATGCAATAACAGCTATTTGACTGCTCATCACATGTTACAAAAGTCAAATGGCTTTTGTCACAAAAATGCCACAAACATGCCACAAAAATTTATGTGTTCTGAGATAATTCTCTCAGAACAGAAACATTTTTTTTTTGTACATACATTACTATGAACAAAAAACCTTGTTTGTAGTACAAAAAATGTGTTTGTTCTGCAGGGGTGAAAATGATGGATTTTCCCCCAAAAAAGTTTCTTCACTGGAACATATGTACTACAAGGGTTTGTAGTGCAGGGTACCACTCATAAAAGTTAATAGATGGGGAGTTTCTGGCCATTGGGATGGCAGATTCATGATTTAGTAAGACTTCACTTCAGCATGCAGTCCATACACACAGTTTGGGCCAGGGCGGACACTCACTGTAATGAATCACAACAGGGTTGACACAAGGCACTTGTACTTCTTAATACTGGATTGCAACTGGAACACAGAACACTTCAGTAGAGTTCAGAAACAATCTGTTCCAAATGGAAGCTGTACAACAAATGAGGCTGAGTGAGGCCTCTTACTCAACAGTCACAAAGATGGCTGATGCAAGCGCGTGCAGTGTTATGTCAGCTGGCCTGTGATTTGGCCTGACAAACAATGGTAGAAAATTTTTGAATACGCTAGTGGCAGTTGTTGCATGGGACACCATGGCCGTCAATGGCCATTACTATTTGTTGTTTCTTCTTGTGGATTAAAAAAAATTTACAATACACGTTGAGTTTCAATAGATGGATACATGACAATCCAAAAAGCTTTGGCAAATGGTCTCCAATTACAAAAATACACATACAACACTTCACCACCTGCCCCGTCAGTCAGTCAGTCACATAAAAAAAGAACAGGTTTTCAAGTGTACCCCGTCATTCATTCATTCAGGTAAATGTTGCTACCTCACATGACCCACTTATGGTGGCAGAGAGCGCACTGCTGTGTACAGCATCCATCTCTCTTTCCAAAGAGAATAAAATCCCAGAAGTACGTACGTAGAAAATTGGAATGAGAGGAAAAACAAACTCACGTTTAGAGGTTGCCATGGGCAAGGCGGCAAAGAAGAACAGCACCAACAGGATGAGACACCAATCGAACAAAAACGACATTCTCTTGCATTCGGCGGCACTTGCACTTGCACTGCCGCCACCAGCACCACCACATTCACTGCCTTCCTCATCGTCATCGTTGTCGTCGGCGGCGTCGGTGGCAAACACAAAAGTGGCCACTTTTAGACTCTTGCCAGTCATGATGCTCCTCGACTCAATGGTCATCATCATCACCACTGCCATGAACACTGCCAAGTCTGCATCATCACAGGCGTTTCACCTGACAATAACGCCGCCGTCACCATCAGCATTGTTATGGAGTGTCGCGGAATTCATGGACACGGAGAGCAACGTACACTTAGCACATTTTTCGCCTGAGCAGAAAAGGGGAAACCGAAAGATAGACAAGACTTCATTTTCTGAATTTTCGTTTGGCCTCACAAACAGAAATTCACCGTTACCAGGCACTTTCACAAATGATACCTCAGGCCGTACCTTTCCGTCAATGACATTTCCTGCTGGGACAATGAAGAAAATACTGTATGTATACTGTAAAGGGAAGGAAAGAAAACAAGGTGAAGTCGAATAAAATATCCTTGCGCATCTGTGAGGCATCTTTCCCCCTCTCTGTATACCCGTACACGCAGGGAATGTTGACGCATACAGTACTATACATCCATATAGACTTGCTTTCAGCCTGTATATTTGATTCTCTTATGCTATTGATAAATTTAACCTACTGTGCAGTACCAAGTTCATCAGCCTGTCCATGTTATTTCCATGTAGAAGGTGAAAAACAACTCTTACTAAGTTACCAAGTGAGCAACATAAAAGCCACCGGGGGGGGGGGGAGGGGGGAAGAGGATGTTATAAGGCACTTGGTCCTCTGGAGCTGGACCGAAAATGGGCTTCAGTCCAAACTTTTTCCCAATATACGGAGGAGTCAATTCAGTACAGTGCAGCACTTGTTAACCCATACTCAAGAGCTGAAAAACGATAATTGCTGGGCAAGGAATATAATGCTTCCCTATCCCTCAACCCAGAAGTCAATTGCCCATCCCAAGTTTGCTTTTCTCTTTCTCTCTCACAAAATCTGAGTTCGCGAAGATGAGGCAACACAACTGATACGCTTTACCACTGTACAGTATTTGTATACTCCATGTCCAGGTGCACAGCGAAGTACTTTACTGTACTGCATTTCCAAGCTTCCCCTACCAACTGCTGGTGTGAATCAGAATGTCGACGCTTCCTTTTAAGCAAACACCAGTAATTCCAAGTGGCGATAAGGAAGCGCCACGGCCATTTTATCACCTCACCCGGAGAGTGGTTGCGCACAAATACACAGGGTAGGTGAGAAGATAAGCCAAGATCACACTACACAATGCTCTTCCTGTCCTGTTCAATCCTGGATGCAGTAAAATTTTTACAAATAAAATCACTGTCCTTCGTCCAAGTGTGACACTCGATCACTGGACGCATCAAAAAAATTTTTTTTTCAAGCGAAAAAAAAGCCGCGGAAAAAGCAGGGCAGAACACAGGGGCAAGCATCAGTTAACTGTATAAATCTACCTCGCACCCCAGTCTCCGACGACGATGCTGGAGCAGCCGCTTCGCAACGCTGAGTGGCGGGAGAGGCGTTTGTGGGTCTCCAATACTTTCCCCCCTCAGCCGGCGAGCAGTAAAGCAAGCCTATGGCGCCTGTCCCCTGTCCTTGCGCGGCTAACGTGTGTCGCGAAAAAAAAGCAAGCCAGGAAAAAGATTTGCCCGGTCTCTGCCCTGTCACAGGTACATACTGTAGTACAGTATATGCTTGACTGATGATTATATCCCGCTACTCCCTTGATTCCCATGAAATTTTTGAACAGAATGCTGCTGTAAAGATGGAGCAAAAAGCAGTTCCATCTCCATTTCAATGCGACATTCATTATTGTATGACGATGCACACTGTAGACAAATCGTTCTCACTCTGGCTGGCTGGCTCGCCGCGCACATCCAAGTCCCGCTCAGGAAGACCAGGGGAACCAGCCAGCCACCTATACTCCGGTAGCCGTACATTATTTCAAAATGTATGAGACTCAGCCTATTGTAACTATTTCTGCTTGATGGGATAGGTGCAGTGAATGGCAAAAAGGTGAGAATCTTGGAAATTGATGAATTATGAGGGAATTGTTCTTAGTTCTAGTTTATGAAAGAGGAATCATCATGCCCCACAAAATAGCTAGGCTGGACCCAACTCTCCTCTCCACGCGGCTCACTCCGAATACGAGGCGATTCCAAGGCTTGCCTGGATCCAGTTCACGGATAGTCAATGGATCCCAGTGTTGAGTTCCCTGTGCACGTTTATGCATTGCCCGGCATATCGTCCTCTAGTTTTATTCCTTTGGAACATTAATTGTGATCCCATAGCAAATTTTCACATTTACAGCATATTTCACAGCAATTGTTGCAGTTAATTCAGCACTTCCAAACTTTGATCACCCAGGTGGAGATTCCCTGCAGGTCAGAATTCACATCACTTTTTCCAGTTTCAATTTTTTCCCTTTTAAATGCTTTTTTTAAATTTGGTTCACTTCTATATGCATTGACTCATAAACATAGCTGTTGGGCCAGTATCTGACAAATATTTGTACAAATAAAAAGAACACCCAGTCAGCCTTTACAATGCCAGATCCTCCTTAGTGGAGTCCCTTCAAATCCTTCTTTACAAGCAAGTCCAAGATCTGACCACATGCAGATCTTGCAGGCACAGTAAGCAGTCCAACCTATGGACACACACTCAGCATTCAATAAGTCCAACTGATTTATTTCTGAAACCATTTGTGGAATTCGGGCTGGACAGGCCCGTGCAAAGGACACCAGTGAATGAGTGTTGTGGGTATATAGCAAGCTAGGAAAAGAGAGGAAATGAAAGGAAAGGGAGGGAGGGAACAACCACTGGCGAGGTTCCTTCATTTCCGCTGTTATATTGCCCGGGTTTAGGGACTGAAAGTGTGAGAACGCACTCACTGTGCACAGTACACACCAGAAAATAAAAGGGGAGTAACTGCTGCTCCTGTTGGGACGAATGAAGCGTGAGGAGGAGGAGGACGATTCTCGGCTTCCCCTCGCCTATCCTTCCCATGCAAGCCCGCCAAGGTGCATGTGGCTCGCGGGTGTCTAGGGGTGACTGGAATGATTACGGGCGGAATGATTATTCTCCCATCAAAATCATTCTGGAAAGAGATGGGAAATGAACAAATGAACCTTAGTTTCTAACTCACCTATTCCACTTCATTCATGCAAAAAATGCAGGAATAAAATTTCTGACAACTATTATGTACAGCATAATTGAAATTAGAATGTGTGTCTTGCTGTTTTGGTGCAACAGTCGTACACCGGCAAGAGTGAATTACGGGGAGCATGGCAGCCAGCCGGCCGGCGGGGACTCCAGGAGAGATCGCCCCATAAAACATTTCCCTCGCCCCTGGGTGAACTCCGCTCTTTTCCTCTATACCCGGCCTACTGTACTCTACTGCACAATATGGGTTACCTGCAGGATTAACCTGGGTGCAACCGATGCAATAGCATTATACCCATTTTTAAAGTGTGCCCAACTGACGAAAAAAGAAAAAAAAATCCGGATTTTTTGGAGCTACCCAGACTTGAAATATGTTTCGCAATGAAAGTTGACATCACATTTCTGGAAGCCAACACACTGTGCATTATACTGTACAGTAGTTTGATTTCGACAAGTCCCTTCGTGAATAGCAAAAATCTTTCCATGACTAGCAAATAAAATTTAAAAGTTTCTTGAATCTGCGCATATTTTCATTTTCACCAACCTTTCTCAGCAGCAATAGAATGAAAATACGGTACCATCATATTTACTCGAATATGACGCGCCCTGGCGTAAGAGTCCGTAAGACCCACACCCTCTTTGAGAAATTCGTTTTTTTTAAACCCCTGTCCTCGTGTAAAACCCGCACTTCAGTTTTTTTTTTTTTTGCTGAAAATCCAGAATTGTGAATTTTTTTTTTTTGCGTGGAACCATTTTCCCCTCACGGATATTTCATTTTTCCTGCATTTTACTGCATGCTAGAGCCGTTGAAATGTGTTAGCGATACGGCAACTTCCTCAATTATGGAAATACCTTCCACTAAACTTCCTGTTATACAGTACTTCCTGTTGCATCATCTCCAACTGATTTCTCATAGTGTTCTTGCATGAACCATTATTTATCACGGACGAGGAGACTTGGCGTCACACATTTCCTTCATTTTTTTGTTATATTTAGGCGGGCTTTTGTTTTCTGGATTTTTCCTGTAAAATGTCTCCTTGAGTACCCCCTCTGATACTTTAGTACTGTACATACAGTTGGTATTTTTTACACCTTAGCTAACCTTTTCCCCAAGCTGGTTCCAATTTGTGAATAAGCTACAATGGCTTTGAGATTAAAGCATAACACGAAGTATTGCCTTGAATTTCTGCTAATGAAGGTTTAGACAAATGAAAAATGGATTCCCTGACATTAAAAAAGAGTTAAATTTTGTGCCTTTCCAACTACAGTATTCCCACAGTTATTCTAAAAAAAAATTTCCATTTCTGATCAAGATAATAACCTCTCACGTTGAGTCCACTAATTGAATGATAACTATGCTAGTTTTTCCCTGAACCATAAAACCCTCCCTCATCCTTTTTCTTCTTTTTTTTAAAAGATTTTTAATGCATGCATAGTTGTTTGTTCCCTAAATTGGCTGATAGAAGTAAAACTACTGTGTATAACTTTATTTGGTATTTTCTTATTGATTGTGAAGCAAATTGAGTGACTGTCTACCATCAAAGACACTCTCTTCAGGGCCAGAACTGAAGAGTAGGTTTTCATTCAATCCACAGATCTTGTAGTAAAGAAAAAAAAAGGGAAAAAGAACTTTTTAAAATGCATTCTTCTGCACTTGCCTGATTTATTTGTTGAATGAGGACTTGGGAAAAGTTCTGTCGGTTCAAAGCTTTATTAAGGGTTAGGATGATTTGCGTCGGAAGAATTTTTCTAAACTAGAGAAAGTTGGCTAGTTTGTTCTGATGAATCTGTTGGAAATTCAAATTGTGTAAGACATCAATATATTTTGACGAGAACTTATTTTTTTCTCTTCATTGGGACAATCATGGATGAGAATAAAAAAAACCACAGTAGTCTTTCTAGATGAAGCATAAATCCTGAAGCATATTACAGTACTCGGAACAAACCAGTCACAATTTGATCCAGATTGTGACTGTTTCTAACAACAATTTCTAACATCAAGACCCACAACATCACAGGAGGTTAACTTGGACATTCAAGCATGACTTGAGACAGCCTCGGGGCAAGTCTCCATCCATCAATGCACCTCAACCATAAGG